TGAGATTCTCAAGACACTTGCTTAACCATTGTGTGTATATAAATGTATGGTTTTGCTCCCATCATGTTTCCTAGCTTTTTTTTTTTTTTTTTGCGGAACTGGGGATTGAACTCAGGCCCTTGCGCTTGCCAGACAAGCACTTATTCTACGGAGCTATCTCCCCGGCCCCGTGTTTCCTAGCTTTTACCTTGCCCTCTATTCATTGTTTAATCCTGAAGGTCTTGCTTTCTTTTTCTTTTTCTTTCTTTCTCTTTTCTTCTTCTTCTTCTTTTTTTTTTTTTCAGAACTTCGCATTGAACTCAGGCCCTTGCGCTTACCAGTGAAGTGTTTATTCTGCTGAGCCATCTCCTGAGCCACCAGTTCTCACTTTCAATTTAATTTTGTTATGCCTTTCAATTTTCTCTCTTCTTTTGAGTTCTTACACTAGGGAGACTATATGATATTTACACATGCAGGTATGGTTCATTTCACTTATGAGTATATCTTCAAGTTGCATCCCTATATATATGAAGGCTTTGAGTTTATCATGCTTTATAGCTGAAAAATACCCCACTGTACAAAAACATTACATCTTTTTCATTCATTCCTCAGGTGATGGGCATTTTTGTTGCTTCCAAGTCTTGGCTATCACAAATGTGCTGCTATAAACATAGGTGCACATATATCACTATGATATGATGTTTTCAGTTCTTTTGGGAAAATTCCCAGAAAAGAGATACCGGAATTCGATGGGAGTTTCGGTCCTAGTTTTTTAAGGAGTCTCCACACTGATTTCCATAATGGTTGCACCAGTCTACATTCCCACCAGCAGTGGACAAGGGTTACTTTTTCCCCACAGCCACTCCAAAATTTATTGTTGGTTGATTTCTTTATGATAGCCATTCTTTCTCAGGTGAGATGGTATTTCAGTATTGTTTTAATTTGCATTTCATGGATGGCTAGTGATGTAGAGCATTTTTTCATGTATTTGTTAGCTTCTAGAATTTCTTCCTCTGAGAAGCATGTGTTCATCTTGAATGTCCATTTTTGGATTGGGTCTTTAAATTTTTGGGCCCTAGTGTTTTTTATGTAGTGGCCTTTTTTGTCATTTAAATATTCTTGCTTTGAAGTTGAGACTGTCTGCAAACAGGATTGCTAACTCTGCTTTTTCTGAGTTGCTGAGGCATGTAGTATTGTTTTCCGTCCTTTGACTTTCAGTGTATTAATTTATGAGTTGTGTGTTTCTTCTATACAACATATTGTTGGATTTTGTTTCCTAATTCACTGTGCTAGTCTATTTCTCTAAATTGGTAAATTGAGTCCACTTATATTGATGGTTATAATTGAGATGTATTGACTTATGATTGATACGCTGTTGTTTACGCCTGTGGTTTTCTCTGTTTGTTAGCCCTATTTGGTGAATTCTTTCCATTCTTATTCGTGGAGTTCTGCTCATTTTGGTCCCTCTCTAGAATATCTTTTAGTAGTCTATGTAGGGTTGGCTTTGTTATCATGAAATTCTTTAGTTGTTCTTTGTCATGGAAGTATTTCACTTTTCCACCAAATTTGAAATAGTTTTGCAAGGTATAGTAGTCTGGGCTGGAATTTGTTTCCATCGAGGACTTGAAGTATTCTGCTCCATGCTTTTTTTTTTTTTTTTTTAATTTTATTTATTTATTGTGTGTGTGTGTGTGTGTGACCAGCTCAGCCCACCAGGGGGCGGGGCTGGCTGGCATGTGGTGCTGGAGGATTGAACTGCGGTCCCTTTGCTTTGCTAGGTTTGTTCTAAGTAGGTGCTTTAGACCACTGAGCCATCTCACCAGCCCCTCCATGCTCTTCTTGACTTCATGGTTTGTAAAGAGAAGTCTGTCATTATTCTGATGGGTTTTCCTTTAAATGTGATGTTTCTTTCTCTAGTTGCTTTTAGTATATTGTTCTTGTATTGTATTTCTGGGATCTTGACTTATTATATGCCTGGCTGTGATTTTAATTGGGTTGAGCTTATTTGGAGTTCTATATGCTTCAGTTACCTGAACATCAGATTGTTTCCTCATATGTGGGAAGTTTTCTGCTATTACTTCTGCCCATATTCTTTTTATATCATTTGTATTGACTCCTTGTTTCTCATTAATGCCTATTAGTCTTAAATTTAAATTTTAAAAAAAAAATTTATGTGTGTGTGTGTGTGTGTGTGTACAGCTCAGCCCACCAGGGGGCGGGGCTGGCTGGCATGTGGTGCTGGGGGATTGAACCGTGGTCCCTGTGCTTTGCCAAGCTTGTTCTAAGTAGGTGTTCCAGACCACTGAGCCATCTCACCAGCCTCAATGCCTATTAGTCTTACGCTGTTCATCTCTGCATCATCTTGCAGATGTTGAATTATTTTTTCCTGCATTTGAGTTGTTTTTAAGAGATCTTTTCTTACCTTTACACTAGCTGTAATGGCATCTTCAAGATCTGAAACTCTTCTTCACTCTCAAACGATTTTGCCAGCTTGTAATTGAGATTTTAAACTCCTCTATATCTCTTTGACTCTGCTTAATGTGATCTATTTCCTATACTGCTCATTCAAGGATTCCATCATTTTTTTATTTGCCTCTAATTTTCAGTGTCTTTAGAAGCAGTTATTAATCATTATGGTTACCCTTTTTTTTTACTTGAGATTATTTCTGATCTGAGTTCCTCTATACCTTTTACTTCAGATGCTGTTAATTCAGACATTTCAGCTGTGTAATTCCCAATTTCTTCTATGCTAGTGTCTCCTGCATTTGTTCTGGTTGGGTTTAGGGCCTGAGATTGCATTTCACTTTCCCTTTTCTTTTGTATAGCACTGTCCTCTGACCTTTGGTGTAGAGTTTTGGTGCACTTATAACCTTAGCACATACTGAAATTCTTACCCGAGAGATTATATGGTTAAGGTAGTTATAGTTTTGTATTTACAGAACTACAATTAGGAACACTAATTATGGGTATATTTAGAAGTTGACAAACTTTTGTAACAAATGGGTTTCTATTTTAGACAGTAAGAGCAAGCATGTGTGTGTAGCTAAGCAGGTATTAAATTCGAAATTTGTATTTAAATTAGTTCCCCTAAGTTCTGTCTGATCAAGTCCCCTTGATGTACCTGGGGTCTTCCAGCAGAGTAGTACACCCAGTTACCTGTTGCCCCTTCTCGAGGGAGCAAGAGAGAGAATGCTTTTTTAAGATATGGGTCTACCAAAGAGTCTCCGCTTACCAGGTGCAGATCTACAAGGTTTGAACTTTTCCCACTATGCCTGGCTTGGATCTGGCTACTGTGCTCAGCTTCTTCCTGCTACAGCCCGTGGATGTGAACCTGCTGTGCCCCTAAGGCAAGATGTTCTGCTCCTGGATTAGCTGGGTGGTTCTGGCCCCTCACCTCTCTGGAGGCACGTTAGCTGGACAGTTTCACACCAGGCCTATACACCAGGCCTGACGTAGATCCAGAGGGGTCCCAAGAGCACAGCGGAAGAGTTCACTCACATACCACCTGGCCTGGGCTGGGTCTGGAGGGGGTCCACCAGGTGTAGCGAAGTGGAGGGCCTGAGTCACATGCTGGCCTGGCTGGGTCTGGAGGTGTCTCTAGTATTTTTTCGTACTCTCTTTATTTAAAAAAAAAAAATAATAATAGGGGCCGGGGAGATGGCTCAGTAGAATAAGTGCTTCCCTGGCAAGCACAAGGATCTGAGTTCAACCCCTAGTTCCGCAAAATAAATAAATAAATAAATAAATAAATAAATAAATTAAAAAAAAACTGACTTTCACATTTTATAAACGTATGACTTCAATAATGATTTTCTTCAGTAAAATTTTTATTAGTACATGTTTGCGATACATGATTACATTCAACTTGGGGAGTTGACATATACTTGTTACAAGATGAACAAAAGTTATTCTTATGACATAGGATACAAAATCAACACTACATATTGAAGCGACACTTTAAACCTTCAACAACATGCTGGCACATTTCACATTTACTCACATGAACACTTTTTAGCTGCAAAAGAAGATTCACATGTCAAATAGTCCCCTAGGAGTGGCTAGAAGAACAGTGCATGGGAACTACTAAATATACTTAGCATCTGGGTTCATATGCCATCTAGTCAAGTCATGGAGCCAGCCCAACAATGCAACAACAGAGCATGTATGTAACCCAGCACAAGCACAACAAAGGCTGTGCTTCAAGGAGTGTACTTCAGGGAAAGTGGAACTGCGGGGAGGAGACCTTAATGGTGATAATCAGCCTTTGTGAAAACACAGTTTTTAAACCCTGCAAGCCAGAAGCTAGCCAATAATCAGGGTCTTTTAAAAATTTTATTGAGAAACAAACAGCAAAGACACAGTTTCAAAACCGATCAGTAGAACAGTTTTAATAATAAATACATTGCACATTTTTGTCTTCGTAGTATTCAGAGGACGAGATGCAGACATCATATCTTGTCCTAACACTACTAGTACAAATCTTTCTTCTCTTTGAATTAAAAGAAAGTAGCTTTATATCTACCCTACTTTGTATACAAAGATACAAAATGGTCCTTCATTTGTCTCCCTTTTTGTTTTGTCAGAGATGGGTATTCCATTGCCATTTAAATATTGTAGGTGTGTGAATTCAGCAAAATATTCCAATATAATCCAGTAGTCCATAATAGTAGTGGGTTATCACCAGAACTGGCAATGTCAGAAATTATTCACCTGAGCCTTTTACAGCTCAGCATATTAATATGGGTTTACATTTTATACTTCATTTTTATACTTTTCTGCTGGATGGTTAAGACCAAAATAAAGCAAGACCTATATAACAAGAATTATAACTCTTGTATCTGACAAGGTCAGTCAAATCCTCTCAGGATTTACCTTGGAGCCCAGTACAGCAATTTGTAGATCCTTTGTCAGTGTCAGCCATGTGGATGAGTCACAGCCATTGCTTGACTAATTTGCCTCTCTATGAAAGCCTGAGAGAATGTTTTCTCTCCATGTAACTCTTAGGCACACTCTACATCATCAATCACATTCCTCAATAATCAGCTTTAAAACACAAAATAACAAATATTTGAAATATCTATTTCATATGGGAAATATGAATATCAGATATTCATGCGAGATTGGGTTTTCCAGAGCTTCACACATCTGGGGGCCCAACATGAAATATTTTAAGCTTTTGTATAATGTGTGGGTCAGGAACAAAATCAAGACTGAGGCCCCATGCAGGCTGAGTGCCATCTTCATCTTCTAGGCCCCACTTCTGGTCTATAAGCCAACCCAGCCCAGTCCTAGTTCAGCCCATCAATTGGTGAACAGCCACTGGCCCTACCTGTCAGGCCAGACCTGCAGTGGGCAGGAAACAGTGTTCCCTGTACAGCGCAGTCCCGAGGCCTGAGGCCAGCCATGGCTCCCTGTTTTCCATCATTTTTTTAATATTACCTTCTCAACAAGTAGAAAAATAGGCTATATTTAGGTTTAGCCAGCAATAAATATTCATAAATCAGACACTAAAAATACATCTCTATAAGTGCAAATCAACCTTCATGTACCATTTGACATGTTTTCCAAATACCACTACAAAAAACAAGTACAGCACAAGTAGTGGTAGCTCTAGAATTCAGCAGGTTTTATAAACATCATTTTACATTTAAAGGGTGGGAGGGTGATGCCCCCCACAAGGTGCAGAGTCAGCCTACGGGGCTCCCAGGAGTACCACTGCCTCAGGAAGCCACCAAAGCTCCCCAGCCCACTGCTCAAGCCAGCAGTGGGCAGTTCGGATCTAAGGTTCCAAAGTTTGAGGTTAAACCAAGAGAAGCTGCAATCTGTCTTACCACAATCACTCATTCATCCCTATGTTATTTATGTAATAATAAATTATCCCTTAAACACTACACCCAACTGAGAAGAAAATGTCTCTCTACAAAGTCTGGGAATTAGCTTGTGCCCCTAAAATCTACATTATAGCTAAACACAATTTAAGCCCCACTTCGTGGTACTTGCACAGATCAGTTACAATTATTAAGTCACTATTTCCAAAAGAACTATTAAAACTATTATTAAAAAACATTTGTCACAAACAGAAGTGCCCTGCAAGTCATGTTATTATTGCACACAGGGTTATCAGAAGTTATGCATATAGAAGACCTTAAAGACTCTAAAAGACCCAGAACAGAGACCCGAGGGCCATGCCTGTCGCCGCTCCAGCCAGCATGCCCAGGGCCAGGTCACTGTCATTGTCTCGATAGCGCTCACGAATGATAACTTGGTTGGCAGGCTGCTGTCCATACAGTCCTAAAAATGAAGGAAAAAGAACTTTGAGAAGCAGTTTTCTAAGCCCAACATGTGCTCACAATTACCATTCCCTCAGGTGTAGTCACTGTGCCTCCCTTCCACAGGACCATGAGCCCACTGCCCTCTCATGTGGCACACATCTTCCTCTGGAAAGGTGGGAGCAGGCAGTCTGCACCAGCCCTCTCCATCAGGCCCAACATGCAGGGAAGATACTACCTATGCCCAAGGGTCCACTAAGAGAAAAATCAAGATCACTGGCTGGCCAGAGTGAAAGCCAGGGATTTAGCTCAGTGCCACAGCACCTGCCTGGCAAGTGTGAGGTCCTGTATTTGATTTCCAGTATGAACGAATGGAAGGAAGGAAGACAGATCACAACACTACCAAGAGGAGGCAGGTGCTAGGGAAGCAGCAGATTCTGCCCCTAGCTTACACTTCAGCTCTGTATAGCATGCTTAACAGAGAGAGTCTAGGAAACATGCAGCCTGCAGACAATGGGGGAGAGCCTGAAACTTCCAGAGCAAGCCCAAAGGGAAAAGCTCATTTAAAGCGAGTTCACACACACACACACACACACACACACACACACAGTGAATTTCCTGTTTAGCATTCATAGAAACTAATTTTTAAATTAAACCTTAAATCTGTTAACACAACGTGATCTTTTTTAATCATGTGTTTATGTAATTAAATTATGTGAGAAAAATATTTGTTAGAAGTGAACATTCTTTAAAAAAAGAAGTGAACATACTAAAAAACAAACCTTAAAATAAATTTAATATTTATTTATTTATTTTTTTGTGGAACCAGGGATTGAACTCAGGCCCTTGTGCTTGCCAGGCGTTTATTCTACTGAGCCATCTCCCTGGCCTTAATGTTTATTTTGCATGATCAAAAAAAATTTTTTTAA